GAAAAAATAAATAATTAAATAAAAATGATGACTAGATACAATAATTTTCTATAGTTTAATTATAGGAATTCTAATAAGTTTATTTAATAAGTTTGAATTTTCATTTGAGCTCGAGAAAATGAAGTGACTTGCTAATTCTTCCAATTCTTTTTTCTTGTTTATTTAATTTTTTTTTTTTAAAAAAAAATCGCTTCTTAAATTTTTAATCTCATAATTTTTCTTAATAATTTTAGTTCACTCATTCTATTTAACTTATCATTATTAACTCTTAGTACAAATAAAATATCTTTACATTCACGTTTTTGTCACAATTATATACGTATGTGAGTTCGATATAGGGTTTATAAAGTTAAAATGTTAAATAACAGCGTATGTAAAAATAAAATAACTAGCATATAAGAGTTCAATTAAAACCATGTTTCTTGTTTGCCGAAGAGGATTATTTATATTATAATAAATATTTATGGTTTTGTTTATCTAATATTCTTTATTAGAGAACTATAAAATTCAAAAGCTCAATGTATAAAAAACTGAAACTGGTACAAGTCTTCGTGTAAATATCGTTGTTTATTGTATTGTTGAAGTTTAAACGTATGATAAAAATTGTATAACTTTTAATTTTTCTAATATATCTATTAGTGAAATTTAAAAATTGTATACCGGCTACAGTCTTTTTTAATGATGCGAACTTTATATTGAATACATTGTTATTATCACTATTGTCACGATTATCTATCACTATTAATTTCTAATATTTTACACATCAGAAATGCTATATTATATGAGCTTTTCTCAGATACTGAATAAATACGTTAATGCCAATTATCATGACAAATTGAATAAATATATTATTTAGATATCTGTGCAAGAAGTTTTCTCATTAATATATCCTAATATAATATTTCATAATGGTGGTGTGCGACATAACTTCAACACTAACTTAAATCCTTTAATATGACAAAGAACATTTTGGTTATCTACCTGTGGTGTCAGTATTATCACTTTAACATGAATTTTATAATCTTACAAAAATACTTAATGCCTTAACCTTTATGCATTCCGATTCTTGGTAATCATAATATCATTACAGAAAAAAGAATTTATATTAAAATAGGTTTCTTTTCTTGATTTTAAATTTCGTTGTTACTGCGCATTAAAGTAACAATCCATATATCAAGTTATAAATTAATTCGAGAAACTCAATAAAAAAAATTTATTTATAATACTTTAGTGATGCATAAATAATCATTTATTTTAATTTTCCACTTTCAAAAAGGATCAAAACGCTGGCCGTCCACTTCTTAATATAGAACAAAACTCTCACTGACGATTTTAAAAATAGTCTTTATCATAAGATGTGATTTATATTTTTTGAAACCCAGTATACTGAATCAAGCATAAATATGGTCGTTTATTACAATATGCTTTAATTTTCTTTAGAAAAAGCAGAACTTGTGTATACAATATATGAATATTTTTATGTTTATATATGTAGTAGGATAAATTTTTAGGTCAAATTGTTCGCATCTGTATCTCCATGTTTATATTTTTCATTCATAATAATTATTCATTTATACAAATTCTATATTCGAACAAATAAATAAAAAAAAAAATACAACCCAATTTTTTTCATTAAGATTCTGATTATAAGAATTATGAAGATTATTATGATTTTAGGTCCTAATTCTATCAATGCTTTTTTTAGAATCGATAAAGTTTTTAAATTATTGAGAATTCTTAAGGTGTGGTGTCGTTTTTTTTATCGTTTTTATAAAAGAATATAGTATATTATTACTTTTTTTGGTTAAACTGGGAAATTCTAAGAATTCTTCAATGTTCTTCATAAGTGATACAACAGTATAGTAGGGACATGTTAAATCATCAACATTTTTCAAATTGTATGGTTTAATATATGTATATTTTAGGAGAACATATTTGATTACTTACTGATACTTAAAGAAGAAACATATTTGGTTATTTCTTCAAGTTCTTTTTCAAAGTTTTCTTCATACTTAGGTTCTGGGAGATTTGAATAATTAAATAGTCTACTAGTTTAAATCGCGTATCATCACTGGTCAACCTCAAAAATTTTTATTTTGCCTTATTTTTAGAAAATTTTTTAACTTTTTTAATTTGAATTGCAATTTCATTATTTTTACAATAACAGTCATAATATTTTGTCAACTCTTTACACAATTCTTTAAAAGTAGGTCGATACTCTAAATTTCAAAAAACAAATCGAAAGTTAAGAGAAGAAAAATTAAAGTTAGTAACTCGAGTATCCCAACATCTCAATTATTCTAGTAATTAATTTTGGAGTATGAAATGGATCATAAGCAACAATTCCAAAAGAATATACATCAGCAGCCTTTGTATATTCTTCTCCGCATAAAACTTCTGGAGCAATGCACCATAGGTATTTCTATTATTAGGATTTTCTGAATTCTATCCAACTATTTTACCTAATCCAAAATCTAAAGTATATGAAAGCCTAAATTTAAAATTCTTTGATAAAATGTTTCCAGGATGAAAAATTCCCATGTAAGATATCTGATGCGTGTAATTTATTAAAACCTTCTACTAAATCAGATAAATTAAATAATTTATAATCCCAATAATATTATCGAAATGATTTTTTAAATAACCTCTAAGATTTCCATCACGCATATATTGTAAATCCATCATATATTTATTAGTTTCAGGATCTTTTGTTATTCCATAAATTAGAATAGTCCTGTAATTCCAGAGATCCATTGTTCTCTCGTGAATTGCTATCTAAATAATGTAATTTTATAAAATTACGTTTAATATATTATAATTTTTTTTTAAAAAAAAATCGTATAATTCAAAAAATATTTTACCTCATTTAAAATCTCTTCATTTAAATTCGCAAAATTATCAAATTTTTTTAATACCACTTCAATTTTACCGATTCTTTTCCATTTATTTTTTTTAATATCCCGTCCCCAAATATATCCATCAATCCGCTTAACATAATATATAGTACCAAAACCACCTTTAGCAATTTATTTAATATCATCAAATCTATTATAAGGTATCCATTATATTACTTTCCAGTCACCATCTGCATTCAGTTGAGAATTTTGAATAAATTTATCTATTTTTTCATTTTCACTTGTTTATTTATCAAAATCATTTTTGGAATGTTTTAGTTGCATTGTTGACACCACAAACTATAATTATTTTTATTGCATTTTTTACATAAGATCATTTAATTTTCTTAATTTTAATGAGAGAGGTAATTGCAAAAAAAGAAATAAATTTGGGTCGATAAACTGTAATACGATTAATGTTACCATACCATTACATTTTATATATACGGGTCACATGCTGATTTTAAAATTGTGGATTGAGTTAACACGTATAAAGTTTCTTTGGTTCGCAAAGAAATTATATTATTCATAAAAGTATAAAAGTATGTAGATTGAACGTTCTTCTACGGTGTAACTATTACCAAATTTATTATTTTATTTCATTATATACATGTACATGGCGATGAAGATATTTTTTAATTGCCATTTTTCAGTAATGCTTTTTCTATAAATATCAAATTCTCAAATTGATAGCTATAGTAAATTCATCAGTCAACCATTTACATCGTTCTTGATATATTCCTCTTTCTCTCTAATTCTTTAATCAATTTTAATAATTCCAGATCAATATTATATTAATGTTATCTAATAATGTACCTTCGACTATATTGTTCATCACTTCTAACACGTAATACGTTCAATCCTTTTTTTTTTAAAAAAAAAAACAAATAAAAATAAAACAATAATTCACGCTTTCTCATTATATATAAATACAATATTACCTGTATGCATAAAATTACCTTTTACCCTGACATTGATCAAACACACTAAGTCTTAATACAAATGTAGGTAAGAACAATTAAAGAAAAATGGACATGAAGAATGTTTTACTTGATGCCAAATTAAGGATCGGCCAACATTTAAATCATTGTGTAATTATTGAATATTTAACAATTATTTTACTCACCTTCCAAGTCACAAAATTATTTGATTTAAAATAAAACATACACAATTAATTCATGACTTTGACTGAATTCGTAATATACCTTTGTATAAAAATATCTTTATTTAATTCCACCAATATACTTGAATACGTTTCAATCATGTCTCTTCTTAATAATGTCCAATATATAAATTTGTGGTCACGGGTTTGAGAAATTGTAACGCACGATTTTTGAAATAAATTTATGAAAGTTAGTCTATTTATTGGCTTTAATAAATTAAATTGTTAATATTATTTTAGTTATTAAATGTAATTAATTTATTGTAAAAAAAAAATTAATTAATCACTCAATCGAAGCAAATCCTCTTTTACTTTATAATTATTTGGTATAACTTGAAAATCATTATAAAGCAAACAAAGAACAAACCCTAACCCTAATCCAATCTCTTTTGGAAGGCCAACAACTTGTAATATAAAATCATTGAAACTCATCTCCCATGCCTCAGAAATTTCATCCTGAATTGATAAAAAAAGGAGCACCCAATATTCAAAATGATCCAATAAATGCATGTTCGAGGCGGATTTAATATTATACTATTCATCAAATTGATGATAAAGTATCAAACACGGTCATTATTGAAAAATAGAAAAATTCTTGGAGGTCTAATCCTTTTGAGTTAGAATGTAGTAAAGATCATACAAAAATAGTTTATATTTCATTAAAAAAAATTGTAAAGTAATAATTATCTACAGCGTATGTGAATCTTTTACAAATTAGGTTATTATATTAAATTATTTTATTGTAAATATAGAAATAATAAAATACGAATTCGGAATCGGCGGTTGCACAAAGATTATAGTTGGGAATTATTATTATTGTGAATATGTATGTAAAAATAAACTAAATTATTAATTCTAAATTTATGAGTGAACGATGGATAATCAAAAGCAGTTTGAGGTGATAACGACGATAAATCAAGTCCATTTTGAATAAGTAAAGATGATTAATCCACAGCTATCTCGTATGGAAAATCCCTAGATTCTCCCATCTCATCCCAATAAACAAAAGGAATATTATAATATTTGAAGAAGAGTCCCAAGGCAATTGCTTCGTTGGCCACCCAATCTTTTGCGGAAATAATAATTTCATTTCCCTCGCGACCATGCAGTGATTTTGATGCCGTATGATAAAGTCCCTCAATGCATTTTGTCACTGCATTTATATGCACCTTATTTAACTTGCACGTTTCTTTCAGACATTTTTTAAAATCTTCTTGTACACATAATTTATGTAACAATTTATCAATAGGTTCATTGCAAACAGGCTCTGTATGTTTTTTTTCATGGGAAGTAACCTATTGTAGAAATACTATAATAAATAAAATGTAAAAAAAAAGTTTATGACATATAAAAAATTACCTGAACTCTGATGAATTCTAAGGCAGCTCTCACGTTACATATTCTCCGAAGTTTAAACAGTTCTCCTGAACGAGTAAGTAACACGGCTTCCTTTTACTGAATTCCTTGCTTAGTTTAAGTATCTTTGCTTGTAACACGGCTTCCTTTTTATTGTTTTCCTTTGTTAGTTTAAGTATCTTTGCTTCATTCTTTTTATATATCTCCTCTATCTTTGCTTCATTCTTTTTATATATCTCCTCTATCTTTGCTTCATTCTTTTTATATATCTCCTCTATCTTTGCTTCATTCTTTTCATATATCTCCTTCAAATTAATTGCAGGTAGCATTTCTGAGCTTACGAATGCAGGAACGCCCACTGGCAATTCTTTTTCATTATTTTCTTTCATAAAAACACTATTTGTGGTGAAAAAATGCTTTTGTATTTCAAAGTTTATCAACCCTTTTGTGGAAGAACGATCGGAGTAACATCTTAGAACTCGAGAAAAACAAATCATTGTCAAGGCTTTTGAGTTCTTCGAATTAAAAAATTGATTTTTTAGAAAAAACATTTTTAAAGACTATTTTCTAATTTATGTTTTTTTTTTATTTTTTCTAAAGTATCTGTCATAAAATAGACTCTTTTTATCTTTTCCAAAATATCTGTCATGACTACAATAATGTTATCTCGTACGAAGCGATTGTAATAAATTTTATATCAGGGATGATGTAATTCATATTTACTTTGAGTCAATTAAAAATCAAAACCAAACGTTGTAACCTCACCCATAAAAGAATTAAAATATACTTAAAATCAAAAATATTTTAAGAATATATTAAGTATCAAAGAGTCACATACTTAAATTTCTTAAAATTTGTTAAATATCATCCCTTGAGACAAATGGTGTTGGTGTGACTAAAGAGGAAAGTTCTTATAGTGAGGGAATTTTAATATGATCTCTCATATATAGAGACCAAGCACTGTGTGATTATAAGAGGGGAGTTCTTATACAGTGGGGTGCCTTTAGACTGTACCGTACACTTAAAATTTTTTCTGCCTGCATTAAGAGTATTGTTGGTCAGAATCTGTGCAACTGCTGATCCAGAATTCGTATTTTACTATTTCTATATTTATATAATTTGTAAAAGAATTAAATATTAAATACTTATATTATTCATAAATAATCATTATTGCTATAGATAATTATTGCTTTATACCTACAAAATTTTTTCTATTTTAAAATAATGACTGTGTTTGATACTTTAACACAAATTTTATGAATAGTATAATATTAAATCCACCTCGAACATGCATTTATTGGATCATTTTGAATATAGGGGTGCTTCTTTTTTATCGAAATTTCCAAGGCATAGGAGATGAATTTCAATGACTTTATATTACAAGTTGTTGGCTTTCCAAAAGAGATTGGATTAGGGTTAGGGTTTGTTCTTTATATTATTACCTTTCAATTTATTGTGTTAGTGTTTACAGACATTATTTCTTTATGTGATTAGTGGTACGACTGTCCTTTTCTTTTTTTTTTATAAAATATTTTTAATAAAGAAATTCTTTCTTCATTATATATTTTTATATATATTTTTAATTTTTATTTATATTTACTTATCCGTATGTATATATATATTATTATTTATTATTATTTTGTTTTTAAATTATTGATATCAATTAATCCCAATCTATTGTATGTATTTGTTGTTGTATTGTAGAGATAAAGATAGAGGAAGAGAAAAAGTAAAAAAATTTTTCAACGAAGGTGCTTCTAATAAATAAACTATACCAAGTTAAGCCATTGCATTTGGTTTTTTCATTTTTATTTTTTATTATTATTTATTTATTAATAAAAAAAATTCATTTTATTCCACCCAATTTACTTCTGTATGTTCCTTCGTGTACTGTGTCATGCGTAGTCAAAGTCTAATGATAAAGATGCGAGCTTAGGAATCTTTGGGTCATTAGAAATTTTGATGCATTAGATTTCATTTCTATTTCTCGATGTGTTAGTCAGAATCAACTTAGTTATTTCAGTTGATTGTTGAGATGATGATGTCTCTTTCTTTTCCTAAGCGTATGCAGACTTTGAACCGAGTAACGGTGGCGAATCGAGTGATTTTAACTAATAATAATTCATCAAACAGAGTCAAAGACCCTGCTATGCACACAGATGATGCCCGGGTGATTTTTGTAGCGATTGAGAGATGATTTTCAATTGCAAAATTATATAATTTAAATAATATCGATCCAGATGTCTTTTCATCATCAATATATTCTTTAACTGTTAAATCCAAAGTAATTTATCATGATGTTCGAGCGATTATTTCTCTCATCTACAGTAAATAATATTATTTTGGTTTTGGCATTTATTGCTTCACAGCATAATGCCTATTTTATGAAACATACATACAGCATATTGTATTTTGTTATTATCTACACACATAGATTTATATTTGTATATTTACCTTATTAATAAGATAATTTAATTTCTTCATTATTGAATATTTATATATGCAAGAATTTTGACAAACAATTCGAATCAACATCTCTTATCTCTTAGCATTAATTGACTTTCTACATTTATTTTTAAGTTTGCAATTTAGACACCGGTTGTTCTAATATTTATTAATCGAAATTTATATTTTAACAATTTTTGAATCATTCAATGTCACATTAAAAGAATAATTAAAACGGAGAAGCATTTATAATAAATTTAATAATAGAATTATTTATGGTGGTGACACTACTCTATTTTTAAGCAAATATTTATTTATAAATATTTCGTGCTATTGATATTTTTTTAAAAAAAAGATTCCATTTTAAATTGCGTGCAACATTATTCGATGGCGACCCAATTTTATTTTATTTACACCTTTTTTTTTCAATTACCTCACCCATTAAATTAAGGAAATAAAATAATAGTTAGATGTATATACAAAAAACGTAGTGAAAATATTACTTGGTTATGGCCTTGTTTCAAACGATGTAACTCAAAGCATTTCAAAAATAATTTTGATAAATGGACAAGTAGAAATGAAAAAATTGTTCGGGGTACTCAACTAAATACAATTGCGTTTTGGAAAGTAATAGAATGGATACCTTATAATAAATTTAAAGATATTAAAAAAAAATTGCTAAGGTGGTTTTGGTACAATATATTATGCTAATTGGATCGATGGATTTATCATGGAATGGGATATTAAAAATCATCAATGAAAGCGATGTGGTCAATTTGAAATAGTATTAAAAAAATTTGATAATTTTGCAAATTTAATTGTAAAGTTCTTAAATGAGGTAAAATATGTATTTTTTGTCATTATTATTATGCAATTTTTTGAATATATAATAAATTAATTATAATTTATAAAAAATAAATTATTTGGATGGTAATTCACTTGAAAAGAATAGATATATTCAATAATTTCATCCGAATTATGGATATCAAAAGATCCTGAAACTAATAAATACAGTACATATATAACTTTGGCCAGAATTATGGCGGAAATTTCATAAACGTTTGATTTTAAACATGAATATCTCTGTGAATATCAATGCTGTTGGAATAAAACAGCTAAAAACAAGGTCTTTCTTTCTATATTAGAAATACCCTAGTAGAAAATCGTTCTACGCTTCACAAATCGTGAGCGAATTAATAACAAAAAAATTTTTTTAAAAAAAACTTTAATAAATACAAATAATCATCGAATAATTGCGAATAATTGTGAATAATAATCGTGAATAATTGACATATATCGATATAATTATTAAATAATATATACTGTATATACTTGATTTTATAGATAATTATTCAACACGAACCTTTGAAGAAGATTATCCAAATTCTTCCAGAATAGTAGTAACATACAAATCTGAAAAAAAAACATTTGTTTCATGCTATATTGTATTATCTTTGGAATGCTATCCTAAAATTACAGTTATGACTCAAAAAAATTCAAAAAATGGAAGGAGATATTGAATACCAGATGACTATATTATCAAAACTAAATTAAGAAATAAAAAATTCAATGTAAAACAAAATCTATATCAAATAAAAAGGTAAAATATAATATTTTTTGAAAAGAAAATGGTACTGAATGGAGTATTTGTAATGAAAAATCAGCAACTGGTGTTGTTCTTGCATTTTTGCAGGTATTCATAAATTTTAAAATTATTCAAATAAATAAAATAATAATTAATATTTATATTTATTATTTAGAAAATTAATCAAACTGTAACTCAAGTATCAGGTTCTCATATTTTTGGATTTGATATTGTAAAATTACATCAATGTAGATTAGAGATTTTTACTAGTTCTAAAATTTCTAGAAAACGTTCTCTTTCCCTAACTCAATTCAAGTCCGAACAAAATAAACAATTTGCATCTTTTGATAAAGATGTTGAACAAACATTTTCTTAATTAATTACAAAACATCAAATGATAACTACAACAGAGCAATCTATAATTTCTATACAAAATATAGAATTAAATTTTAATGGTAAAATTATTAATTTGATCTATAACAAAAATCTTGAACTAACAAAATTAGATACTATTATTCAAGCATGTGATAAATCTTTGTTATCAAGAGATGGATATTGACATCTAGCTGCAATTTAGTCTCATTTAATTCATGAATATTGTATTGACGAACATCAAATTAAGATCACAAATAATATTAATAAAAAGATTTGAATTGGAACATTTAATCTTAATAAAATATAAGATGACAATAATTTTGATATATCTGAACAATCTGAAGAGGGGATTTTAGTTAGTAAAGTAGATATTAATACAAGAGCATATAGATCAATTAGTACTCTTCTTAAAGTATTAATTTCAATTTGGAAAAAAATCTTTATCAAATCTTTTACAAGGAGATACAATAAAATTTAAAATTGAAGGAGATAGTAAAAATGTAGATTGTAAACAAAGTCATGTAATGTTAACATTTTGTTTATTAAATGAGAAAAAGTTTTAAAACTTAATTATCAATACTGATAATTAAATTTATTATTATTATTATTATTTTTATAATTTTTAAAATTTATATAATTTTTATATTATATTATTAATTTAATTTAATAAATAAATTATAATATTTGCCTTTATATTAGACAAGAGAAATATGATGATTTAACAAAAGTTGGTAAATTATTTAATCATCAACTTTTTGATTTTTGAAATAATGGAATAATTGATAATAATAAAATTCATTGGCCTATAGAATTATTTTTTCAGAAGATTGAAAATTTATGTATATTATTATGGGTTTAAATGCTTTCAATTCAAAATATTTTTGTTTATATTGTAATTATTCTTTAGAATTATGTTGAAATATGGATATAAATTTTGAAAATATAGGAAATACTATATATAAGTTTTAAAATTTATTTATTTTATTTTATATTAAGTTTGTTTATCTTATTTTATTTTAAATTTATTTATTTATTTTATATCAAATTTTTTTAAATAGGTAAAAATAGAAAATTACCTGTATTTCTAGCAATTAATAAAGAAGATTATATTTCAGATGAGTTGTATTTTATTTTTAAGAATTTCTGATACTTTGATGAAATGTTTATTTGTAGATTTAATTAAAAAAAAGGAATTTTCAAAATAAATCAAATCAGTAATTAAATTAGCATTTAAAAATATTAAACTTCATTTTGAATTTTTTTCAAACAAAATCTATAGAAAAAATCATGGAGTTAGATTTCACTTATGAGTCCTGACAAAAAAAATAATACTTGAAAAATTTCCAGTTTTACAATTTATTTCTGAAGTATGAGGAAAAGATATTGAAAAATTATAGAGAGAATTCAATCAACTATATAAAATTTTATATCAAAAGCATCTTACTGATTAAGATATTAATTAATTTGAAATAGATACTCAAAATTGGATTAAATTATTTTGTTATCTTACTCAAGGTATAATGAATAATTCAATTCAAATTTCAGGTATATATCATAAAGAAGATGTTACACCTTATATATATATTTTTGCCAAACATGTTTCTCAATTTTTACATCAATTAAAAAAAAAATTTATTTTTTCAACATTTTTTAACATCAAGTATTGAGAAAAAAAATCACAATCAAGTATTAAGTAAGATTAATTTGTATTTTTTTAAAAAAAAATTTTTTTAATATTATTTAATATAGGTATGTTTATTTTTTGGAGATATTACTATGGAAGGAGAAACTGATAAAAAATCAGTAGTATATATATAATGTCATTTGAAAATTGTCAATTATATTATAAAATTAATAAAATTTCTAAAAAAATTATTGCTTAAAACATAATTTCAATAAAGAAAATCAAACATAATATATATATAATTTGTATATAATTTTTATTAATAAAAATTTTTTAATAATTACAAATTTATTAATTAATAAAATATTATAACAATATTATTTATTAATTGATATATGATTAATAAATAATTGTTAAAGTGGTGAATATGACAATATATATTTATAATTTTGTATAATTAATAACTTATTTAATTCAAATTTATTTTGTTCTGGTTGATTTCTAAAATAATTAATAATTAATAAATATTAAATATTAAACAATAAAATTTAATTATAAATTATTAATTTATTAAATAATATATACTTATTAACAAATTCTTTAGAATCACTTATAAATGTACAAGTAGCATTATTACATTAAAAAGTACAATTTTTTTTTTAATTCTAATTGTGACCTTGACCTAATAAAAAAAATTATTAATATTTAAATATTTTAATAAATATTAATTAAAAATTAAAAATAAATCTATAATATATCAGTTAAAATTAATTTTATATGTCTTTTTATAATTAATAAATAAAATATATATCATTGTTTTTGTAATTGAATTCTGTTTAAAACTTCAGTATTCATAATTAAATATTTGTTTTAATCTTTTTTCTCTATTTTTTCTCTTGAATTGATAATAATATTTTTGTAATGTTGAACTATATCGAAATGTTAACTTATTTTGAAATAAATAAATGAAAATAGTTTCAGAAAAAATATCAATAGAATGTTGTTTTAAACTAATAGAATGCTTATTAAAGCCAAGTCATTTTTTAATAAGTATTATAAATATATTTTGGTAAAAAACAAGAAGATAAAAAAAGTGAAAAATGATGAGATATTATTTTATTGTTTCTATGTTTATTTCTTTCATGTATTAAAATTTATTTCTAGAAGAAAAATTTGTTTACAAGGAAGACACTTGTATATATTATCGTTTATGTTTATTTTTGATATTTTATTTTCATGATTTTTTTGATATTTTTTATTTTTATTATTAATTGATAACAATATCATAATGATATCAAATTATGTCACATATATGATATAATAAAATTAGTGAAGTCAAGTTGGCCTATATTATATTTCAATAGTCTCATTTCTCTATTTTAATAAAACTATATTATATTTAAATATAAAACAATAAAATAAAAATATCAAGAATGAAAAATCAAGATAAAGAAAATCAAAATCAAGATGTATTTAAATAATACTATAATTATTATACACATTTATAAAATATTCTAAGGAAAATTTTTTATTAGGAAATTATTTTTCTAGATATACATTTATACATAATTATTCTGAAAATTCAAAAATTGAAACTCATTATAAATTAAAAGAATGTTTATATTATTTATTTTATAATGTTGTTTCTTTAGAAACCTATCTTGCTATATTAAAATTAACTCAAAAAATAGTCAAAATAATACTTTTCAATATTTTATACCTGATGATTATATAATTAAAACTAAAAATTATTGAAAAAACTATCAAGTTTTATAAAAAAATGCAAAATAGAATATTAATAGTATATATGTTCCCAAAATTGATTTTATTTTTTTGAGGTATTTCGACTTTTTGAGATTTATGCAAAATCTATTCTATATATAGAAATAAAAAAAGTATCCAGTTATATGTATCTTTAATCAAAGAATAAATCTGGGTAGTCAAAAAATTTCAGGTTTTAAATAAAATAATTTTGTCTTCTATGAAAAACTATTTTACCTTTTTTCCTCAAAATTGTAATTTTGGGGTCTCAAAATAATTTTGCGTGCAAGTATAATTAATAATATAAAGTCAGTAACTATAATTACTAATACTTATTTAAAGGTATATTTTTTATTATTTTAATTTAATATATTTTAAACCTGACATATAATTAAATTATTAATAATTATTATATTAAATTAATATATTTAAACAACACATAATTATTATTTTTAATATATTATTTTAATTAATATATTTAACTCAACATATTAATATTTTAAAAATCTGATACATAATTAAGTAAATTAATTTATTTTAAAATGCAATATATAATTAAACTATTATTATTATTTTAATTAATATATTTAATTTAACATATAATTAAATTATTATTATATTAATAAAAACATAACACAATTAAATTATTATTTTAAATTAATACATTTTTATTTATTTTTTTATTAAATTATTTAATTTATTAATTATATAATTAATTTTTATTATTTATTAATTATATATAAATAATTTAATATTTAAATTATATTTAATAAAATTTATAATAGAAAATTAATTAGAAAAATCTTAGAATATTTAATTTTCAAATTTTTAAATTTGATATTGAACCTTTATATAATGTATATGCTCAATTAAATTCAAGTTATATTTCTACATCAAAAATTAATAATTTAAAAAGACCACTTGAAGATATTATATCATAGTTATAATAACATAAAAGACTTAGTAATTTTGAAAAAGATATTATTGACTCTAATAATCAACTTTTATTTATTATTATATTTTTATCTTATTTATTATATTATTAACTCAATTTCATATTATTAGTATATATTCAGGTGGTAGGTTGCGGGTCCGTTTCTCATGAGTTAATCTGAGTCTCATCTTTTCTAACAAACATTAGAATAAGTTGTGTATTTTGTATTATGTAATCTCATATAATGTAAAAAACTTTCTCTTTTTTTAATTAATAAATTTGAGGCAAGACCTCGCTGGAACAAAAAAAAAATATTATTAGTATATATTATATAAGAAACTATTAGTGTAAATCATTTAGAAATTAATACAACTATTAGATATTATGACTGTAGATCTAAATATAATCAACAATGTAGTGTACAGCGTAATCAATGATATATTCAATAGTGTAATGAATAGTGTAATAGATAGCATAGTAGAAAGTGTAATTAGTAGTGTATATATAAGTGTAATTAATAGTACATACTATACATGTTCCCAAAATTAATTTTGAATTTTTGGGGTATTTCAACTATACTTGCACGCAAAATTATTTTGGAGCCCCGAAATTGTAATTTCAGGAAAAAAAGTCGAAATAGTTTTTCATAGAAGACGAAATTATTTTACTTAAAACCCGAAAT